AATATATATATATATATATATACACACACACATATATATTCTCTTATATTAGAAAAGGCATGTTTCAACATGCTTGCTTCATTGCTTTTAGGGTATTTGTGTCTTTTCAGTTCTCTATTCAGAGTACGTGTCTTCTTCCTGTGTCATCAATTCTCTCTTCTCAGTTCCCTACGTGTCTTCCTCCTACGTTACCAATGTACACATTACTCTATTCTCTCTGTATCTGTATCTCCTTCATTTATGTTCCACCATCTGTGCATCAACATTCTCCAGGTAAGGTTCTTTCATTTTCAATTTTGTATTTTTGTTTTGGTGCCATCTTTCTTTTTGACAAAGTCCAAGTCCCAAATTTGATTAGGGTGTGTGAATGTTTACTGATTTTTCCATTTAGGTTTGTTATAGATTTTTCCATTTAGGTTTGTTATAGATTTTGGATTTGTGTTTTGGAAGTTTCAATAGTTTTAATAGTTGTGTCTTCAATTTCGGTTGGGTCCTTACGCTTTCCCTGTTCTATTTTAGATTGTCGAAACTGTTCAGATTCAAATTTTTGTGTGTGTTTTCACATGCAGTAATTAATTGTTTTTTTAAAACTTTTGGGAGAGAGTTTCAGCTTTTGATCAACAAGAAGTTGTTATATGGAATAACTATTTAAGAAATCTTGCAGAAGGTAGTTCTTTAGTTTCGGTTGAGTCATTATGCTTCCCTATTCTATTTTAGATTGTCGAAAAAATGTTCAGATTCAAATTAAGATAACCAATAAAGTAAGAGTGGTGAGAGAGGTTTATTGGTTTTGATGAGAAAGACAACAACTTGTTTGAGCTCAAATGGAGCAGGGTAGTATTGTGGATTTCTGAGTTGCCGTTAATGGAGTCTTAGAGTTTTGGAGAGTGAAGTGGAGATGCCAAGCAAATAGACTGCAACATAGTCTTAGCTTCAATGTTAGCTGCTAATCAAACATAAGCTTATATAGTATAGTACTTCTTTGTTGTTGTTCGGTACTTGCATTAGGATTCAACTTAATTCTATGTCAACTTCATGTTGTTGGTCTATTTCGCTATTAATTATGTAAACTGAACATGTTGAATTATTCGGTGCTAGAGTTTCTTCATTTTAATCGTATACTGTTGTGGGTTTTGCTTCGAGTTCTTTTTACATCATTGCATTAACTTTTTGAAATTATTTTAATTTACAGTGTGAAAATTTAAAGATCAACAACTACTTATGCCAGAATTTGAGCTATCGATGTGTCTTCTTAGCAAATTCAAGGATCTGGAACTACTTATACCATATTTGAATTACGGGTATGTTCGTTGATGGTTTCTTACGCCCTTTATTCCGATTTTGCTCTTTGTCCTACATTAGATACGTCTATGAGCTTTCTTGCTAGAGTGCATCTTCATTCTCTGGGTTGTGCGTACTGAATGACCTGAGAGAATTAGAGAACCGATTATTAAGGGTGCTTCGTTTGGTCATCGCCAAATTGTCCGTGCTGATAATATGAGAGTCAGAGAGATAGAAAAGGCTCTTATTAGAGGCAATTACTTCTGACTGACCTTGTTCCTTGCCCCTGTAACTTGAGCTGTAGTTTTGATGTTTTGTATACCTTCTTGTTGATGCAACTTTCTGATCTACTGGTTGGGTACATCGTCTATTTCTATAGAGTTGTTTTAAGTTAGAATTCTTCGTAGCTTATTGCTGATCACATTTTAATGGATCACAGGGATTGGAAGGTCTTGGTAGACGAATAGGTGAATGCTACTGCAGCCTTTGCAGGTTAATTGCTTATGAGTTTCTTTTGCTTCTGTTTTAATCTTCAGTAAAAAATGGATCTCTCATATGTCGTCATTCGCAATTCTGAGCTGAATTTTGAACTAATTTGTTATTTCTTGCTTAAAGGTAATGAAAGCACTCCAGAGTCTATGAAAGCATCTGTAGTTGATCAAGACGAGGAAGGACTTCCTTCCCCGCCTTTAGATGACTTAGCTTTCTTTTCTGCTCAGACCACTTCAATTGAGTTGTCACAAGTATGATCAGCTTACCCTCTTCTAGAAAATTGATTATTTTGTTTGGTCGGCTGCCACTGACTTATTTTCTCTTTGTTGTTAGTGAACAATGAAGTTCTTTGATGGCATGGATGATGATGGAAGTGAGCAGAATTTGTGTCCATATTCTTTCAATATCCCTTCGCTATTCTGCTCTATATTTGGATTCCCCTCTAATAAAGGTATATTGTTCCAATTGGGGATTTATTTCAGATCCTCGAAACAGTGGGGGATTCAATGTGAACCGTGGAAATGGCCGAAAGCCATCACTAGGTAACCAGAACATTCCTCTCCAGAAGAAGCAGTCTGCTGATTGCTTCAATGCTTCTCCCAAAGAGAACAAGGGTGAACAACAAAAGAAACAGGAAGCCGTAATCAAGAAACAAACAATAGTTGCCAAACTAACTAAGCCATCTGGAGGTGAATCTGGGCCTGGAAGACCGACAAAACCAGCCTTGGAGCAGAAGCTCAAGGTTAACGAGATGAACTTCCAGCAGAAATCTCATAAAGGCACAATTCAAAAGAGGCCTGTGGCGTCTCAACAGAATGTGAGTATCTTAAAGAAAGTTATCTTCTGATTCATGTGTAAAGCTCTGATCCCTGTCTAATGTGTAATTTCGTCCTATAGAAGCTTAGACATTCAGATGAGGATGTTGTTCCAGTCAAACTCGAGGCGACTAAAAGAAAGCTCCAGGAGCGGTACCAAGAAGCTGAAAAAGGTTGGTCCTCCCTCCTCTTTAAACTTTTTGGATACTTTATCTGGATATATACAATGCGTGTTCGGTTTCCTTATGAAAACATTGAAATGAATTGATTAATGACTGTGAGGTTCCCGATAACGATCTGAATGAATTTTTATAATTGTCCTTCAGCCAAGAGGCAGCGGACCATACAGGTTATGGAGTTGCATGATATCCCAAAGAAGGGCCCAAATCAAGGTGTTGGCCTTAAGAATGCTCATGGGGGGGGGGGGGGGCACATAAGAGGGCCAAAATGTAACATAAATCATAATATAGTAGGTCTAAGTGTAATTTCCTCAACTCTAGAAATTGTTTTTTTCTCAATGTGAACAATCTAGAATAAGGAGCAAGAAGAGAATTCTAGAGCATTCTCCACTATTCTCAATATCTCATTTCACCTGAGCCTTCAAAGATGTGTATATATACACCCCTTTTGAGTCCTTGTTGGAGTCAAGTATTTGGGTATTCTGTTCTTTTCATACCGTTCTTGAAAAAAAGTTGAAATTGAAAAGGATGTTTGGAAGAGGAGGGAAAAAAGTGTGATAACACAAAGTTTTATGAAATCTTGGGTGTTTCCAAGAATGCTTCAGAAGATGAAATCAAGAAAGCTTATAGAAAAGCTTCTATGAAGAATCATACTGATAAGGGTGGTGATCCTGAAAAGGTAATCTTTTTGTTTATTTTTGAAGAAAGGTGAAGTCTTTGTTCTAATTTGGGAGTTTTTTTTTTGTTATCGTGTTATGTTTGTTTAAGCTGAAGAGTTGCCAAAGGCTGAGTTTTTGGCTGTGTAAATGTTTTAGTTGAGGTACATTTTAAATTCTGTACCATCTCCTGCTGCCTGCTATATCCTTGTTTCATCCATTGTTTCTTGAAGAATGGGATGTCTTAGTTTCAATTTGGGAGAAATATACTGGGGAAGGGGAAGAGGGATCATAAGGTGGGGAATCAAGCTCTCACATTCAGTTAGCCAGCCAAGGAGGTTCTTATGAAGAGGAATTATAAGGTGGGGAATCAAGTGCTCACTGATAACCTGAAAATTCAGTTAGCCAGCCAATGGTGGTCCTAAGATTTTGTTTTTTGGGGAGGGGGAGGAAGAATGCTTGTTGAGCTGGTTTATCTCTTTTTATGTGTTAAGATGGTGCCTTTTTTATTGTTATGTTGTTGTGTTTGCTCATCAAAGGTGGTGTTTTTAGGATGTGCAAGTGTTTTAGTTGAGGTGCTTCTTAGAGTTCCATGTATCTGTTGGTTTTGTATAGTAAAGCTGCTTAGTTGAACCTGAATACTGGTTTTGTAAAGTAAAGCTGCTTAGATGAACCTCCTGAGTACCTGACAAGGGTGGTGATCCTGAAAGGATAGCCTTTTTTTCTTTTTATCATCTCCTATTGTTATATCCATGTTACATCAGGTGCCATGAAGTTTGGGAATGTCCTTTGTCCAACTTGGGAGAAATTGCTTCTATGCTACTTTGAGCTGTTTTTTCCCTTTCTTTTTTGTGTATTGGTGGTGCTGTTTTTTTATTATGTTTGTTTGATATAATCTTAAGTTGCTCCCTTCTCATGATGATGGTTGTGTCTGGAGTTGTTGTCTTCTTGGCTGATAAGCCAGTGAGAAGCTACACTTTTTTGAATGGTCCCTATTGTTGATTAATCCTCTTTAGGTGGTGTTATTATGCTAATATGACAATAGTTGTTCTCTTGTGCAGTTTAAGGAGCTAGCTCAAGCTTATCAGGTCTTGAGTGACTCATAGAAGCGTGAGATTTATGATGGTTTGGTTATCCAAACGGGCCCTTAAGTATATCCTTCATAAGGACCGGTGTTTTAACTTTTGGCCATTTTTTTTAAAAAAAGTTATGCAAATAGTTTATAAACATTTGCAAAACTTCTGCGGTATAGAAAAATTGATTGGTTTGTGATGAGATTGATGGCGAAAGGAGAGAGATAAGCGAGATTATTGATTTTGAAAGTTTGAATTGAATTTAATTATTTAAAATTGTTTATAACGGAATATATCAAATTTAGATTAATTTTAAAATAAAATATATCAAAAAAAGTTGTTCGGGTGACCCATAAGTTATTTGTGAATATTTGTGCCATGGACTATGCCTAATGTAGAATCAGTGTATAAAACACAAACTAAAAGTCCCAATTTGATATCTGAACCAATTTGGTCTTCAAACAACAACATATGCCATGGACTTCCATTAGTAGAATATAAAGACGGTCAATAGTATGCAAATTTTATATTATCTTGTGAAGATATAATAGTTGAGTACAGGGGCTTACGAATTTCGGTTTAATTTTCTTTTTGATCTTTAGGAAGGACATAATATCGTCCGTTTCGGATGAACCATCATATGAGCATTAACCATATGCTTCCATAGAAACACCCTGACTGTAAATTTGCACAGAATAAGTGCATTGAAATATATGAACTAGAATATAAAGTGAGGGCGAGGTGACACAGGCCTATGGAGATTGTTGATTAAAATTAATGTATGGAAGTTGAATCAAATAACAACACCCTAGGATAATTGGTGAGTATTCATTACATATCAATTAGAACAAAATATTTACTCATTATATATGGTGACAAGTAAAACATTAGAGATTCGTGTAATGTACAAAGGGGATGCTTTTGCTTTCTGACATATATGTAAAATATGATCGGCTTCTTTATTGCAACTATATTATACCACTTATAATTTACTAATGTGAAAACCAGATCTTTTATATAATGCACTAAGTTTTTTGAAATAATGATCCTTTAATGTTGGGCCGTGCTTTGCACGGCCATGCTCTATCTAGTATATATATATATATGCGCCTACGTATATCTATAAATAAGTGTGTTCTACGAGATATTAATTTATGATTGGCCTAAATTTAATTGGCTTAATGTTTAATTAAATGTCTTTTTTTTAATTATCTTGTTATTGGTTCTCAGAGATATAAGATTTTCTCTAAAAAGATTAGTGTGTCTATAAATTGAGAATTAATAAAATAAATTAATAAACTTCAAAATCAAATGGAACTAAACAATACGTCAAATTGCTCTTTGTCATGTTCTTATATTTTATCTTCAATTTTATCAAATTATAGAAGAAAATATTAAATTTATTTGCATCGCTTACATGTTTATTGTACATATAAAAATTATTTATAGGATGAGCACATCTTTTGACATACACAAACAAGTTATGACAAGACAATTCTCATATAGGCAAAAGTATTCATTACCCTCCTGAACTTGAAGCTTTTTATTCAATGTACACCTAAACTTTATTTTGTTTTAATTACCCCCCTGAACTTGCTTATTCATCCTACACGTACACCTTTTCCGTCCACCTGGCATAGAAACTGAAATCAAACTCTAGACGGCGCGTGTGACAGCAATTTTTTGCCACATCATGAAGTTACAACGGTAATATAAGTAAAAATCTATTTTTTCTTTAATATTTGGGTTATTTTAAGATTTTTTCTCTCTCTATTCTCTACCTATTTATTCTTCTTTATCCCTTCTCCCTTTTCAAATTTCAGATTTTTCTCACTTTTTTTGTTTTAATTGTTATTGCTAAATTCATGAACAATAGCAGGAGACTTGTTTGTTTATGTGGGGCTACTCCAATTCTGAAAATTTCATGGACAAATGACAATCTCGGACGTAGATTTTTCGGTTGTAGACACTATGGGGTATGTATTGTTACTCCTTTTTTGCTTTTTATTTGACAAGTTCGTATTATGCAATTTCATTTTTTTAACTTTGATTTTATGAATGCAGTCTTCATTTCGAAATTTTTGTAAGTTTTTCGATTGGTATGATCCTGAATTTCCGATCCAAGCGAATATTGTAATTTTGGGTTTGTTGAAGAAAACCAACAAACAAGAAGAACAGCTCAAGTGCAAATGGATATTGAAACTGATTTTGGGTGTTAGTTTGATATGCAATGTGATATTGTTCTTTTATTTAGTGTGTCATTGAATTTTTTTTTAGTGCAATTGTTATTAGTTTGGTTTGGTGTTCCTTGCTCAACAGATCTAGGGTACTCATTTTGTGGATTAGTTTGGTTTGGTGTTCTATTAATGTATGTTTTTGTTGTTTTTGCTGATCAATACAATTACATGTAATGGGTACTATGATATCATGAAATAATAACATGAAGGCAACAAACATAACATAACTAGTGCTTTCTTGATCATAAAAAAGAAGCATCATAGTGTTTCATTGTTTTAACCAACAATCACAATAACTTAAGTTAACTAGCAAAACATAAAACAATCACTACTTTAAGGTTAGTTGAATAACCACATAATCACCAACCAACAACCACAATAACTTAAGTTAACTAGCATAACATAAAACAGTGACTACTTTAAGTTTGTTTGAACAACCACAGATTCATCAACACATAAAACACTGTTTTAAGTTTGGTTGGACACCCACAACCACACAACTAAGAAGTTTTCTTTGAGAGTGATTTTTCTTTGGCTTGTGACCTTGTTTGAATGCCATCAACTTTTGATCTGGTTTGAATACGACGCATAACACTTTCGACTTGAAGTTGTCTTTGAGTCATGGCCTGTTTGCCTTTCCACTTAAGTCCCTTGGTAGGTTTAAAACCAATATCACCA